GGATCGCGCCACTTTTATGGTACTCGAAAGGTAGCAGCTACTTAAATGAGAGGAGCGGTTCTACGATCACTTCTTCTTTGAAGGGCCTAATTGTTGCCATTACTCTTCACGAAGCTGCTCTCCTCCGACAGGCGCCATTTCATTAAATTCTCAACTTTAGAATGACCTGTGCACGGGGCTGTTACCAGCGGCTAACAGGTGGTTGTAGAAATTCCTCTTCATCCTGACGTGCCTTGGGACACACGTTTGCTCTGCATGCCGATTATCCTGTGCACGTATGCACACGTAAAATATACACGCGAATACGCATATCGTGAGTCCTTAGAATTCCTCAGGTGTTCAGAATTCGGATCGAGATGCAATTCAGTAGCTTTCGAGATACGACTAGACAAATTGCAGAGCGCCAAACGACGGAGAGAGGAAGACAAAGTTTTGATTCGTTCAACGTGGCTAATTGAAATGCCGCGGACGTCTCCCCCGTGCGACGAAGGAATCACGATGGAGGCATCGGCATCGCGGGGCGCCCGATCAGAGCATCCGCGACTAGAGGCCGAACGATTTTCAGAAAGATTCCAGCTGCATTGCAAATGTAAATGTAAGTTCGTCATCCAGGGACAGGCTCACAGCCTCGCCTTGTTCTGGCCCGAGGCAATGGAATAACTTCAATAACAAACAGCAATCGCGTATCGTGACATTTACCTACATATATATATATATATATATACACACACGTACGTATGTGCACGTCTCAAATTTCTATTCTCTCAGCCTTCGCGTTTTTTTTTTTTTTTTTTTCTTTTTTTCATTCGAAATATTTTTTCTTATTTTCTTTTCTAGTAGTTCTTTCATCTGAGAACGCATAATCCAACGAGAAGCGAACGCGTCGACAATTGATTCAAACTGGCGCGAGGTATTTCTAGGAAAGGAATGCAGTTTTTCTTTTTTCTCCCCCCCCCCTGTCTCTGTTTGTATTCCAAAGGTATGCTAAAAACTTTCAAGGTATACTAAAGGCCTTCCCATTGATAATAAAATGTTGACGAGCCGTAAGTAAACGTGCCGATTTTTCACACGACGTGTCATTAGCTTTGAAAGGAATTTCTCGTTAAAGCGCAATTTGTTCAGCTCGAGGAAGAATAAATA